AAAAAATGGCAAAACTGTACAGATTTCATTAAGAAACTGGCAACTGAGCATCTGCAGATCTGTGTCAGAGTGCAAACCTTTACCCAGAAACGAGCGAACAAACTTTATCTTATATAATTGCTTCCTAACTGTACGGTTTATTGCTCTGAACCAATAAAACCTACAGCAGGTTATGGCTGAAAAGGAGGTTAGGGATTATCTAAGAAGAAAACTGTGTGAAAGGGTGATGCATTGTGAAGTGAAGTATTTATGTGTGAAGTATCTGTTTAAAATGTTAATCAGCCACAACATTAAAACCACCCGCCTGATGTTGTGCACAGATCTGACTCGCTGCGCCTCAGGTGGCGCCCTCTAGTGCCTGGCAATGGGACTTTGACTCCTTTGGCGTCTGTATGCTTTCGAGTGGGGCTACTACCATGGATTAGAACTGCAGTCTGTCCTAAACCTTAAAAAGTTGCTTTGTTGCCTAAATTTAACCAAACTGCAATTGACGGTTAATTTTTTCTTAAAGAAACCCAAAGTTTCCCATCAAAAAATTGCATTTTAACTAGTTGATCAATATTTTTCACTTCACCTGCGTGAGTGGTTTTGATGATGTTGCTTTACTGGTGTAATTTTTTACCTTTTTATGTTAGTACCCAGGATGAGGGGGACAGGGGATGAGTTTAGCTGTGCCATTAAAAACCCAATTTTCGTGTCATTTCTGAACTAATCAGTTTCGGTCTTCTCGTGCCTTTCGGTGTACTTTCTAACACTCATTGCATGAATTCAGTTTGAGGAGTGGAGCAGGTGTCGGATAGTTTATCTGCAGCTCACAGTCAGCTGCTTTTAAAGGTTTAAATGTCAATAAACGTCAACCACACATCTTACAGATCCATCAAAGTTCTTCCGAACTCTGACACTTTGGTGCAGTTACACAAAATAAAAAGCAAACAGAGTAGTTGTTGCCTTTTGTGTACAAATGTACAGTCCTGGTCAGTTTGGTGGTTTGTGTCATCGCTGACCTTTTTAAATAATCGGTATCTTTTTTGTGTGTGTTGTTTAAAACTAAGTGACTAAAAAGGTGTTTTATTCTTTGAGAGCACCACCACCCTGCTATAAATAAATGAAGACGTTCTCAAAGTCAGTGTGAGTCACGCATTATTTCATGCAGAACATGCTGCCCTGCGAAAGAGGTCGGGGTTACGAAGCAGAGCTCTTCATTTGCTGGTCAGAGGCGACACTTACTCATAAACACAGCATTAAAACGTCACTTGTCACCTGAAAAAAAAATTGAAAGGCTACATTTTTGGTTGTGTTTCACTGTAAAGTTATTCCTGACGCTGAGTAAACATCCACTCCAAGCTGCAGTCTCCTAGCAACAACCTCCAGCTACAATTAAGTGATGTGTCATCCAGTCCTCACTCAAGACTGTGCCAATGTCAGGATCTGTTTAAATTCTTTCCACAGTGCAGGGAGTCGCTCCTTTGAAGGATTTCTGTTCGCTGTCGTCATCCGCCGACTGTCAGTGACATCTCACTGCAGCTGACTGTTAATGAGGATGTAGGCGGATGGAGGAAGGTGAGGCTGCAGCGGTCAAACAAGTTGGGCAGAAAAGACAGTAACAAACCATCAACTAATCCGTTTAATTTGCCTTAAGAGTATAAAAAAAGAGAGCGATGAGCTACTGGGCCTGTTTCAGGTAGGGTCTGGTTCATATCCCCTTTAAATGAAATTTCACCTGAATGCTGAGAACAGGTGACCTGTGAGGCGAAACTTATTTAAGCACACAAGCAAAGCACAGGCTTAGACATTTATAGCCAATTCACAAAGTAATACTCTTAGGCATTAGACACAGGCTAAACCACCTGCCTTCCCTCCATTGTAGCCTCTCCGCTTCCCCTTCAAACCTTCTGTTTGTGAGCTTAGTAATATAAAGAGGGATTATTTTGAACTGCAAATCAGACAAAGCTACTCTAGCAGAACCAAAGAAAAAAAACATGCAGCTGAAAATTAGAGTACCAGGTCCACTTTAAGGTTGTTTTGGAGCAACGGTAACCCACATAATTTCCTTAGGGATCAATAAAGTATTCTGATTCTGATTTTGGTGTGCTAACAAGCTAGCATGCAGCTGCAAAGTTCTGCTGTCACCTCGTGAGTCCAGTAGCTCCTGCAGCACGCTGTGCCTCTCTGGTAGGAAGGCAGCTTAAAGAGTACAGCCAGAGGACACAGTTTTTGGCATTTCAGTTATGAATTTCAACACAAAATGGTTTAACTGAAGACTGAAGCAGTTGCAGTTCCTCATAAAGTCCAAGTACCAACTGAGCTGAGAGGAAAGTGAAGCACTGCCAGCAACACATGAGGAGCTGCCAAATGCTTCACACTCACCCCGCACTTGTTAACACACAAGTGCTTTGATGTAAGAGTACACATTAAGGAAATGCTTTGCACAAGGAGACACAATTTCACACTGAAAAGAGACGGAAACTGCAGTTAACAGCTGATTTAGGACTCTAGACGATCCTCTTTTTCTTTAGTAGCAACAACCTTTAAGTGCCCACAGAGGCGTTTTGACCTGGCAAATATTCAAAGCAAATATTTTCTCGCAAGAATAATTTGGTAAACTTGCTGATTTGAATTTTGCTTTTAGTTGAAGCAGAAGGGAAGCTGGGAAATGCCTGAGATAAAATGTTAAGCTGGCCTGCTCTGCCACACACAGGTCAGTGGGGGCACTGATTATGTAAATATCATACAAAGGTGCTCTGTTTATATGTTGCTAGTGAAAACAAAGTTGAAGTGCGATGCCTAGTTTCCCTCCCATACAAAGTCTATTCTGTGTCCATGGTTATGTAAGTTTGTAGGAGTGTGTATTTCTGGGTGTGAACATGTGCTCGTGAATCACACTTCCAGATAAAATTGTTACCTATTGTCATTAAATATATTCTGCACTTAAAGCCTTCTTTTAATTACCAGAGGCACGCACATATTCTGCCCTCTGATTTATCCAGGGGCCTCCAGCTCCCTGCAACCCTACTTAACCATTTAGGAGTTTAAAAACTGGATGGATGGGTAAAACTGGAGAGGGTAGTAGTGTCCAGAGAGCCCTGAATTGTCCTTCAGGAATGTTCAGTGTATTTGCTACCTCAGCAGATAAGCAG